CCCCCCCCCATTTCCTCCCCCCACTTCCGCCCATCATTCCTTTCTTCCCCATTCTAAGAGTATATAAAGGTAAAGCTACAGGATACAGTGAAATCGAAACAACGATGCAAGGACGTAAAATAGATGGGGAACAATGTACGGACCTCGATGCTCATTGTGTTCCATGCATGATATATTTAGATATCATTGGTCTGTCTGGGCTGATCACTCCTTCATTGGACGAGATGATCCACGTTGCCAAGGAGATGGAAAGAACAGGGATGAAGATACCACTTCTGATTGGTGGAGCTACTACATCGAGGTACGATATGTTGTCCAGTTATTATCAAAAGTATTTCTTTATGTTTCTATGTTTTTTGAACCCGACAATGACTTAGTAATTGAGTGTATTCTCAGTCATCGATTCTGGTTGGCTGGCTAACTGATTGATGGATTAATGATTTTCACAGAACGCACACTGCTGTCAAAATAGCTCCTCGATACAGCGAACCTACTGTACACGTCTTAGACGCTTCCAAGAGTGCAGTCGTGGTAAGTGTGGTACAATCCACTGCCCCTCCCCTCCCCTCCCCTCCCCTCCCTTCCCCTGGAAAAATTGAGGGAATATACATTGATATCCTCCGATATTTTACGGGGTACTTTGAAAGCGTTTTAAAAGGTATTAGAATACGAAAAATGACGATTTCCTCCCAAAAAAAGAATTAAAAGGAAAAAAAACATTGCAAAATTTCAAAATATGATAAAAGTTTACAAATTTACAAATAAAATTTCCTTAAAAAAATAGTGGAGAACTATCTTTATGGGTTTCCTGTGGAAGGCGAGTGCTGTTTGTTTCGCCCACGTCAGTTATTTTTGATTGACAGTTCTGTTTGTTGTCTCTTAAGTGCTCGGCATTGATGGATGAAACTGCTCGTGAGGACTTCATTGACGAAGTGAACGAAGAATACGAAGAAATCCGAGAAGAGCATTATGATTCCTTGAAGGTAAGACTTTACAAGAATAGACCGATTTACTGTGTCCTTTAACGTTTTTTTTTTTAATTCTGTGCTGTTCTTCTTACTTAGGATCGTCGATATCTCAGCCTTGATAAAGCCCGTGATAAGCAGCTTGTCGTTGACTTGGTGGACTTCAAACCAGGTACCACGCCTGGGGAAATAAACTAAAAAAAACTCTACCTTGGGCTTAATGTTTTCCCATTTCAGACCATGTGTCATTCCCTAGATTATGATTTCTTTGTTGAACGGTTGTGCACGAGAAGACACATGAATATGGATAAGATTCAAGCACAAAATCTTAAGAGAATGACACGTGATCTAAAAGGGGTTAACATTACGCCCAAGTTGTATTGGTTCAAACTTACCAAAGTTATGCCATGCAGAATCTGATGCGCCGTATGGACTTCGGACCTGACGACAATCTTTAATGTTCGGGTTAGGCAGAATAGTGTCCTAGTCCGAACACAGCCTCGTTTATACTGGCGATTTTTGCGGCGATTTTTGCTGCGATTTTTGTGGCAATTTTCGGAAATATAAAATCTTTTGTCTCATCCTTCAAAAGAGACATTCGTGTAGGGAAAATCTTGGTATACTGAAAAAAACTTTACAAGTAAATTCTTTACCATTATTTATTATGAACAAGATCGCAAAAATATCGCAGCAAAAATCGCAAAAATATCTCTAGTGTAAACGGGGCTTAAGATTTCTTTACACTATTTTACGTTTTGACGATTTTATTGAGCTCTTTAAGTATCGCCATACATTTTTTTCATACCTAGCTTGGGCTACCTATGGTCCGAATGATATGAGGGGAGAGACTAGCTGGCTCCCAGACCATAACTGCAGCTAATCCCTGGGTAATTAATCATTTGTTTGCTCGCAGGCATGGTCGAAATAATGCGCTAATACAAACCATTGCCCTAATCCTTCAAGTGCAATGAGTTGCTGCATCATTGACATTTCTACTTATTTGTTAGTGAAGCCAAAGTTTTTAGGGACCAAGGTGCTAGGTGACTACGATTTGGAGAAAGTCATTCCATACATCGACTGGAAACCTTTCTTTGATGTTTGGCAGCTACGAGGAAAATACCCTAACAGAGGTTACCCGAAGATATTCAATGATAAAACCGTTGGTAAGTTGTCAGTGGAAAAACCTTTTTCATCTATTTTCATCTAATTTGTGCTCCATTTTAAGAGCTTTCGAGAGAAAACTTACACTTAGAGAGAAAATTTACAAATCGTAGTACAAAAAGGTTTTGGATCAGACTTTTACTTTGAAAGCGCATTCGTATGGATGTCGTTCCGTTACCGTGACGGTACCCTGTCCGAGCTTTCTGATTGGATAAGCAGTGATTTTAAGCGCTGTGATTGGTTTACCGCCTATTGTCCATGTGCTTTGAACTCGAGTTGTCATAGGATATGAATTCTCTAATCCATGCTGGTACTGATTTCTTTAGGTGAAGAAGCTAAACGCGTGTTTGATGATGGACAGAAGATGCTGAAGACAATAGTGGAATCCAAGTCTTTACGAATTGTAGGACAACTAGCATTTTATCCAGCAAATAGTGTGGGGGACGATATCTACTTGTTTGATAAAGACCAATCGAGAAAGGGACCTCCTAAAGCAGTCTTTTGTGGACTGCGACAACAGGTTATTATAAGTGCTAAGCTACTTTTAGATATATGATGATGCGCAATATTATATGATGAGGTCAACGATGTTAGTGATGACGAAGATATGGTGATAGTGAGGTGATGGTTGTATTGATGATGATGATGATTATGAGGTCATAATTGTGTTGATGATGATGATGATGATTATGAGGTCATGGTTGTGTTGATGATGATGATGGTGATGAGGTCAGGCGTCTCTTGATAATGATGGCGATGAGCTGATCTTTGTGTCGTTGTTGTTGATGATGATGATAGTGATGAGGTGTTTGTTTCGTTAAGGATAATAAAGAGGTGATGGTTGTGTTGATAATGTTATATAAAATATAACTGGTTATAACCTATGTATCTAACCAACCCCTACGTTTCATCCATCATGTCTTCAGGCTCAAAAAGAACACGGTGTCGAAGAGCCCTATTACTGCATATCAGATTTCATAGCACCTCTAGACTCAGGAGTAGAGGACTACATTGGTTGCTTTGCTGTGTCCTGTATGGGCGCCGAGGACATGGCCGAACAGTAAGTGATACCAAATATTACCTAACGCATCTAATAGTATAACTAAATATTGCTTAACTGCTTGGTGTCTGTTCGTTACAGGTTCAGCAAGCAGCTGGATGACTATAGTGTCATCATGGTTAAAGCGTTGGCCGACAGGATAGTAGAAGTAAGTCGAAAAAAAAAATTGTACCCTTTTTGGCCACTTGGAAAATCATTCCTTCCTTCCTTCCTTCCTTCCTTCCTTCCTTCCTTCCTTCCTCCCTCCCTCCCTCCCTTCCTTCCTCCCTCCCTTCCTTCCTTCCTTCCTTCCTTCCTTCCTTCCTTCCTTCCTTCCTTCCTCGGATGCGTTTTTTGAGGAGGGAGACACCTTACGAACTCGAATTTTATGTTCTTGTTATAGGCTTTTGCTGAAGAGCTGCACGAGAGAGTTCGCAAGGATCATTGGGGATACTCTTGTGAAGAAGAATTGGACGCTAAGGATCTTCACAGGATTAGATATAAGGTAAACGTGGCTTAATTAAATGTTTGTAAATGTTAATAAAACAGAAACCATTGTTGACAATCAGGCGTGAAAACGCGCAACCAAAACGTGTTGTAATCTTTGGGCTGATAAAAATCAGGAGATGGCAGGAGATGGCTAAATCACAGAACGAATTGGAATTTAGCGTTAGTTTAATAAATTTTTCGGAGGGATAAAATACGGAAAACCCAGAAAAAAAACCCTTGATTTGAGGAACCCACCTAACAAACGCTACTAACGTGATGCCTAGTATAGATATCATACTCAAGACCACAGAGATCAGTGACAGGCGAGTGCACCATATATTTTGGCATAGAAAAAATAGCAAGATTACTACCAGAACATCCTGATTAAAGCTGCATTTTTTAGTTAAATTTCGCTTGCGTTTTTTCCCCCTATTTATTTTATTCTGAAGAAGATTAAAGTTGTCCTTGAGTATAGCATAGTAAAACGTGTAGATACCAGTCAATCAAGTGAGGCCAAACATTATTGTAAAATATTATTTTCCATCATCAAAGGCTAAATTACAATTATCGAGAAAAGCATTTCTCATACCCATAAAAACTCATGAGGAAACCAGCCAATCAATGGGCTATTTTTGGGTCACATTATGTTACTTGAAACCTGTAAAGTCCTGTGAAAGGATTGAATTCAGTCTGTAGTAACTGGAACATAATTAATTCAGTCCTAGTACTGAATTAATTTTGTTCCAGTTACTCCAAGTCGAATTATTAATGAGCATGAGAAGTCATTTCAAAGCCTCCAATATCGGACTGGACAGGAATGCAAGTCCGCGCAATTAGTTCCAGTCCTCGACTGCTCCTCTGACTGGAACAAATTGCCTTGAAATCCCGTCCAGTCCGATATTGGAGGCTTTGAAATGTTACGTAATAAGATGCCATCATTCTGTTCCATTCTATTCCATAGGGCATACGGCCAGCCTTTGGATATCCCAGCCAGCCAGATCACACGGAGAAGCTGACCATGTGGGAAATGATGGACTGTGAGAAACAAACGGGCATCCAGCTGACAGAGTCGTTAGCTATGCACCCTGCAGCATCTGTGTCAGGTCTTTATTTTAGTCACCCGGAATCGACTTACTTTGCTGTCGGGAAAGTTTGTGAGGATCAGGTACGTGCACGGTGATTATGTAGAGATGTGGAAACATTTTCTTTTGGGATGAAAAAAAACTCAAGAATAGCAGTTGGAACAACGATTACAACCTTAATGATAACGATAGAAGCAACGACTTCAATATTATCAGGAACATCATTAGCGCAACAACAACAATAGCGCAACAACGACGACAGCGCAACAGCGACAACAGCACAACAACAACAACAGCTCAACAACATCAGAGAAACGACGACAACAACAGCAGTACTTGGAACAACAACAAAAGCAACCACAACACCAATGACAACACATCATCAGCAACAACAGCAGAAGCAACAACGAAAACGACTTCAGAACAACAACAGCAGTAGCTTCAACAACAACAATAGCAATGACAGCAAAAACAACATCAGCAACGACAATCATAAAAACAGAGCAACAACGACAACAACAACAGCAGCAGCAGCGACAACACAGCTATAGCTGTAACAACAGATTAATAAAATAAAATAACTATTTCTTATTGCCTTTTAGGTGAAAGATTACGCCCAACGGAAGGGGAAGACTGTCCAGGAACTCGAAAAATGGTTATCAAGTGTATTAGCATACGAGGCGGACTAATTCTAATTTAAAGTTAAATTGCCAATATTATATCAACATAATGATAATGCTTAAAATATATAAACTATTAACTGTGAAGTCCGGTTGAGACGCGTTGAGACTTTTACCGGAAAAAGAAAAGGAAATCGCAGTTTTCTCGCCTTGTTGAACGTTCTTGATGAAAAACCTTGCGAAATATATATATTTTTATTTGTGGAGCTGAAGATTGTGGCAAATTTCTGGAGGACTTCATACTTTAAAAAGACTTGGGCCAAAATCTTTTACTTTTAAGTTAATTTTTCGAGTATCGATTAATTGGTCTAGCGCATCGGCGTTTACTACTACCAGAATTCCTTGCGCACCTGCAATTTGAATAATCAATAATAATAATGGGAATTTGTAGCAAGAATTGATGGAAAAAATTTCTAAAGCGATAGAAAATTGATGCCGCCCTTTTCGTGGTCATTCGTAGTGATGGTGGTGTAATGATAATGATTGGTAATGATGGCAATACTTTAGTAGCCAGGGTACGATGTTATATACTTGCATTCCATATCACTTAACCTTGTAAAAATAATTACTAACTCAGGTAATATAATATAAACCTACTTTATTGATTGATTTTCGTTACATTTAGGATTACATTTGTAATATATTTTCATTCCAGACTAGGTCATTCCCTCAAGATTTTTCTTGCATGGTCTGACATAATCGAAATTTTTAAGCAAAGAAATAATACTCAAGGAAATGTTGCCTGATCTGAGATATAAAACTAGTGATCCTATACTTAGGAAAGGTACGTATTTTTTTATCCGGGGGG